TGAGAGTTTTGATTAAAAAATTCTGTGTTTCTTCTGCTGAAACCTTTTTTTCAAAGGAGAAATTTGTTTATCTTTACGGTGATTTCCCTAAAAAGATGGAGTTTCCCTTCCTCCCCATTTTAGTCACTTCAAAACACATTGCTACTGTTGCCAAAGGAATTGTTCCAGCCCAGTTTGCTGTGCTTCGGAATGGAAACTGGTACTGGCACAAGGTGGATGATACATGTGGTTTATATCAAAGTGACAAAGTGCTTATGAGGCCTATTAATTGAAAACTTTCTATAGSCTTTTTATACGTTATCAATATAAGAATGTAATAACTTTTTACATATTATTAAAATACAATGTAATCGCTTTCAGTGTATTATCAATTATAGCCTTTTTATATATTGCTATAAGTTCTTTAATAGTGTTTTGGTAACATGTACCAGCTGCACGTAATGTAACCAGCTGGATTAGTACATGGATACGTGAAATCACCAAGAGGCATAAATCAAAAAAAGTTCTGAAGAAAGTAGACAGGTAGATGCTATAAACAAGGAACAGTAGAGAGTACTAATGAGAACTTGGCAGAGGCATGGGACAGTCAGCAAAATAATTGAAAATTAAGACTTGGAGGATCAGAAAAAAAGCATGAACATCACAGCTGTGCATGCCCCGAACACAAAGGTTGAAAGTCCACCATGATGAAGAGGATGGTCTCTCATTAGAGGGAGACCCCCATGACCACCGAATTGAGGATGATGCACGTACTCTTGTAAAACTATGGTATCATGTATTTCTGTGCCCATGTATAGTGAGGGGTGTATGGTGGGCGTATGGGGGGCAGTGACAATGTTCATGTTACACCGTGCTTACTGTATAAATATGTGCTCATTTGAAGCAAAGGCAGGTGGGTTAGGAGGAGAAATCCCCCTCACCTCCAGCGCTGCAATAAACAAATACCTGCTCTATAGACACCAGTCTATGGAGTTTTATTTTTGGGCCTTTTTCAGGCATCAAGACTCCACACCCTCTCTGTGCAATCCAGTGGTCGGTCACTGCACAGGAAAGAAGTTCTGCCTTGTCCAGGTGGAATTTCCTGGGCATCAGTTCCTGCCTGTTCCTCTGGTGCCTTTGCTGGGCCCCCCAGAGCAGAGCCCGGGCCCTGCTCTGTCCTCTCCCTGCACACAGGGACACCCAGGGCTGAGGGCCCCTCTCAGCTGGGGCTCCTCCTGAGGCTGAACAGCCCCAGCTCCCGCAGCCTTTCCCCAGCACAGAGATGCTCCAGTCCCCATCATCTTTGTGGCCCTACACGGGATCTGCACCAGGAGCTCCGTGTCACCAGGGCTGAGCAGAGGGACAGGATCACTCCCTGGGCTGCTGGAAATGCTCTTCCTAACGCACCCCAGGACACCAGTGCCCTTCTGGCCGTGGACAGCTCATTGTTCACCAGGACCCCCAGCTCCTTCCCCACAGAGCTGCTTTTCCAGCTGGTCAGTCCCGGTCTATGCAGGTGCCTGGGTTGTTCCTCTGCAGTTGCAGGACCCTGCGCTTGCCTTTGCTGAACTTTAGACTGTTCCTCTCTGCCCATCTCTCCACCCTGTCCAGGTCCCTCTGAAGAGCTCAGAGCACTCTGGGCTATTGGTCACCCCTCCCAGCTTTGTGCAAGGAACTCGCCAAGGAGGNAGAGGCATAAATCAAAAAAAGTTCTGAAGAAAGTAGACAGGTAGATGCTATAAACAAGGAACAGTAGAGAGTACTAATGAGAACTTGGCAGAGGCATGGGACAGTCAGCAAAATAATTGAAAATTAAGACTTGGAGGATCAGAAAAAAAGCATGAACATCACAGCTGTGCATGCCCCGAACACAAAGGTTGAAAGTCCACCATGATGAAGAGGATGGTCTCTCATTAGAGGGAGACCCCCATGACCACCGAATTGAGGATGATGCACGTACTCTTGTAAAACTATGGTATCATGTATTTCTGTGCCCATGTATAGTGAGGGGTGTATGGTGGGCGTATGGGGGGCAGTGACAATGTTCATGTTACACCGTGCTTACTGTATAAATATGTGCTCATTTGAAGCAAAGGCAGGTGGGTTAGGAGGAGAAATCCCCCTCACCTCCAGCGCTGCAATAAACAAATACCTGCTCTATAGACACCAGTCTATGGAGTTTTATTTTTGGGCCTTTTTCAGGCATCAAGACTCCACACCCTCTCTGTGCAATCCAGTGGTCGGTCACTGCACAGGAAAGAAGTTCTGCCTTGTCCAGGTGGAATTTCCTGGGCATCAGTTCCTGCCTGTTCCTCTGGTGCCTTTGCTGGGCCCCCCAGAGCAGAGCCCGGGCCCTGCTCTGTCCTCTCCCTGCACACAGGGACACCCAGGGCTGAGGGCCCCTCTCAGCTGGGGCTCCTCCTGAGGCTGAACAGCCCCAGCTCCCGCAGCCTTTCCCCAGCACAGAGATGCTCCAGTCCCCATCATCTTTGTGGCCCTACACGGGATCTGCACCAGGAGCTCCGTGTCACCAGGGCTGAGCAGAGGGACAGGATCACTCCCTGGGCTGCTGGAAATGCTCTTCCTAACGCACCCCAGGACACCAGTGCCCTTCTGGCCGTGGACAGCTCATTGTTCACCAGGACCCCCAGCTCCTTCCCCACAGAGCTGCTTTTCCAGCTGGTCAGTCCCGGTCTATGCAGGTGCCTGGGTTGTTCCTCTGCAGTTGCAGGACCCTGCGCTTGCCTTTGCTGAACTTTAGACTGTTCCTCTCTGCCCRTCTCTCCACCCTGTCCAGGTCCCTCTGAAGAGCTCAGAGCACTCTGGGCTATTGGTCACCCCTCCCAGCTTTGTGCAAGGAACTCGCCAAGGAGGCATCAACCCTCATCCAATGCACTAATGAGAAAGTTAAACAACAGTGGGCCCAACCCCGGGGGACACCACTAATGACAGGCATCTGACCAGACCCTGTGCCAYTGATTGTGTCTCTGGGATTTTCCATTCAGCCAGTTCTCAATCGCCTCAATGCCCACTTGTCCTGCCCACACATTTTGTTTCTCCAGGATTGTCTTGAGAGACATGATGTYGAAAGCCTTACTGAAGATGGACAATATTTACTGCTCTCCCTCATCCATCCAGGCAGTTRTTTCATCATAGGAGRCAATCAGGTTGGTCAAGCAAACTTTATCCCACTTCAAATCTAGTTTAAACTCTCTAAATGAGCCCTTCTAACTCCTGGGCTAAGATCCTTTTTCCCCTTYGAGACTCTCATTTGTTTAAACTCTTTACTGTAGACAGCAGAGGTAAAATATAGCAATTTGTTATTTATGTCAATCAGTTCTGCATTTCCTTCTCTTTTTGGGCAGCATTAAGCTGATTTAATTGAATTCTCCAATCCCAGAGGCCCAACAGAATTTACAGAGGATGGTTTGGCTGATGTTTTAACAGAGATCTTCACAACATAAAGATAAATTCATCTTAAATTTATTATTTAGAAATACTGTAAAATAAAAGATTGCTGGTATCGCTTCCATCCTTGGAAGTGTTTAAGGCCAGGTTGGACAGGRCTTTGAGMAGTCTGGTCTAGTGGAAGGTGTCCCTRTCCATGGGATGGGCATGGGATCAGATGAGCTTTAAGGTCCCTTCCAACTAAAACCATTCTGTGGTTCCATGATTCTGTTTTGGGGTTTGGGGTTTTTGTTCATTTGTTCACGGGTTTTGTTTGTTTGGGGTTTATTTTTGCTTTTAATCTCCCTAGGTGTTATTTAGTGGATAGAGATTTTAAATTCTTAAAAACTAGTACAAATAATTTTAAATTTAAGGGCTGAAAGATTATCACTGTTTTCAGTGGAAAAGGGTTGCTTGCATAAAACTGCATTTCCCATAGTGCACAAGGGCTTTCAGGGCTGGGTCAGCTGATGCAGACAGCGAAATGTTYCTTATTTCCTGTGCAGTGCATGGAAATGACTCGTGGGTACGAGTGGCTCATCTTTCCTTCGTCAGGTGATTGAGAGGCCGGGTAACACAATTCTGATTTCAACAATGCCAAGAAGCTGAGCCGATTAACCTGCTCGATATTGGGAAAACTGCTGCTTTGGGAGAAAGGGATGTCATGAAGTAACACACTGCA